AATGAACATAGAAGTATACTTAGCATGGTAAAACTACTGGTTCGATTCGAACTCGTTTTGCAGACTAATCGATTCGTTAAAAATACTGTTCTGAAAGCTGGTGACAGCTTGACTTTAATTACGGCTCATTTTGATGAAAAAAAATTAAAGACAAAGCGGTGTAAAAACCATTAGTTATGTTTCTTGGCCTTAATGAAATAGGATTAATTTGCACTGAGAGAGAAGGTATAAACCTATAGAAATGCAAAGTAGATTTTTAAACATAATTCTCCATTGCATTGTGTCTGGCATATTTAAATAAGGAAATCCATTATTTGGACAATCTTTAATCATAAGATGTCAGTACGGAATTATTATAAAGCTTTTTTGTTTCTTTTTATCTTTTCGGTTTTTAGTTAGGTATATAATCGAAAAATTACACGAAGTTTAGAATTAGTCAAAAAAAAGATAAAAGCAGTGACGTGAAAGATGAATGTTTCAGGCTTACGTCCAAACGGCTGCCTCATCCGACAATCAAACAGATCTTTTTGTCATGGCAGATAATGAGGGGAACAAGCTTATTATCGAAACTAAAAGAGAATACGTACGTACGAACTCTACATTGCAAGTGACGAGTTACTGTCTACTTTTGTTTTCTTGCTCTTTCTATGGAAAGAGTGGCGGATAGGCTCGCGTGCAATAAAAAAACGAATCCTCTTATATCGAGAAAGAATGTTTTGGGTAAAAAACTAGAGTGTCATGTTGTTGGATAACATTATTCTCAGGTACAATATCTTGCTATCAAGACAAGCCGTGACTCATTAATAGATCGATATTCAACCAAATGGAAGTTGTTTTTCTTTCTCCCCTCCCCCTCCACAATACATGTTAATCCGCTTATATAGTGTTGAATGAAACCCCTAACATGATAAATCGGTGCCAAAATTTCGCAAGAGCCTCGAATATCAATCAGAATTAATGGTGAATAGAGGGAGCCACTATAGCGCGATTTCACCCTCTTAACATCAGCTGTATTTGACTCGTTTATACAGAAGCTTCTTTTCCGATATTACTTTCGATAATAAAATGAACAAATGTTTTTCCGCCTTCTCATTACCCTGACAAAAGAAGCGAAGACGTTTCCAAATTACCTTTGTTCTTGGAAGTGACAAGTGTACATTTTATCCTCTTGTGTCTCGCTAAATACACCAAACAAGAATATTTCATATAACAGTGTTTTTTAGTTGTTAAAATTCCATTATCTCTGCCTTACAGGGACGATGTGTGTAAGTTATCATTTTGCCAAGACACAAAGGAGTCATTAATCGTTCCTTTTCTCATTTTATTTTTGATTATTTAGTCATTCATACTTTTTGATGACATTCCTATGTTTAATTAAGGCCGTATACTTAATTATTGTCTGTATATAGGATAAGAACTTGGAGAAAGAGTTGAGTATTTATTAACTTAACTGACGTAAATTACTTGCGATTATTTTCTACACCTGATATCTATCTCTATAAATCACATTTACACTATTACATAATCCAATTAGTCGAGATAAGTTTGGTATAGTTATTTCAAAGCTTTATATATTTACATTGAGATGTAGTTCCTTTGTCCTTAAATGATTTCTATTTGTCAGACTTTCAGACAATTTTATTTTTACTGAGATTGGTGGTGAAGTCAAAGACTAATCAAAGATTTGAATATTTAAGTTGTTCAAGATCAAGAACTGATTTCTCGATTAGTCTAATTGAATATATTTGATATTGTTTTTTTCACGTTTAAAAGTAAACATTAATTATTTCAAGAAATGCTTATGTCTCATACGACAACGTCTTGAGTTTTGCACGCGCCAGCTTCTTAATGGCATATTTGATTTACGTAATTTGCTATGGTTTTGTATTGATACCACATACAAATTATTACATTACTTTATCACTGAAAACCAAGTTAGACATGAATACTAGCGATAAAAAAAAAGGAGCTTGCACTTAGCTAATGACTTTTTTTTTGTTACGAATTTCTAAAGTCATTTATTATTACATTCAAAAATTTGGCTACATTCAGTTGAACGTTTTTTTCATCATCAAAACAATTTATTAACGTTGAGTTATTTAGTAACATTGAAAAGTTACATCTACACTGCTAAAACTAAACCCAGTTTCTGGGTTAGATGTAGGACTTATGTTTACTTTTTACTGTTACGGCCTGAATATAGAGTAGTTTTGTAATTAACGAAAAAGTAAAACATGATCACTTTTATGGTAGTGGATATATTTGAACACACCAATCATAATTATCCCTGTTCGAGTGTATTATATTTTCTCTTTGTTTTCAAGGCTGGAACAAGAGGTTAACAGTGGGGCCTGGTGCCCATCCCGCCAGATTGATAAAGACACACACGAGTACCTTGAGATCAACTTGTACAGTTTGCACGTGATCACACAGGTAGCCACTCAGGGTCGATTTGGTAATGGGCAAGGCCAAGAATATGCTGAACAATACAAACTGGAGTATTGGAGACCAGGAGTACATGAGTGGATTCGTTATAGAAATAGGACAGGACATGAGGTAAGTGCTGTCTATATGTATGTCATAGAAATAAGACAGGACATGAGGTAAGAGCTGTCTATATGTATGTCATAGAAATAAGACAGGACATGAGGTAAGAGCTGTCTATATATATGTCCAATTACATGACAGGTAGTTTATTATGTACTGTTTAAAAACAATAGCCCTCTTTACATTGTTACTTGTTATTCTGTACTGTTAAAAACAATAGCCCTCTTTACATTGTTACTTGTTATTCTGTACTGTTAAAAACAATAGCCCTCTTTACATTGTTACTTGTTATTCTGTACTGTTAAAAACAATAGCCCTCTTTACATTTTTACTTGTTATTACGTATTATTAAAAACAGTAGTCCTCTACATTGTTACTTGTTATTCTGTACTGTTAAAAATAGTAGCCCTATATATTGTTATTTGTTAATCTATACCGTTAGAAATAGTAGCCCTCTACATTGTTACTTGTTCATTTATACCGTCAGAAACAGTAGCTGTCTACATTGTTACTTGTTAATTTATACCGTTAGAAACAGTAGCCCTCTTTACATTGCTACTTGTTAATTCATACCGTTAGAAACAGTAGCCCTTTTTACATTGTTACGTATTATTCTGTACTAAAACAGTAGACTGCTACATGTAGTGAGCTCTATGTCCGAGTTAAGACGTACATGTAAGTTCTACATTTTCTTTTTAACACAGTTGAGCACCGCTCATTCACTATTTTCTATTATGATTAGAAATTGTGAGATATGAAAGATTGTAAGATATGTACACCGTTGTTTCTAACGTGTGATACCTGGACTGACTTTCTAAAATATTTCCACAAGGTAAAATGTGAATAGTTGTTAGGGAAACCAATCATTATTGGTAAAAGACCGTGTGTTCAAAAGTCATACAAGAAACAGGCAATGATCTTCTATTGCTAATATGAAGATGGTTTTAAATATGCTAAGACTTGTATGTTCAAGTTATCCATGAATCTAGTAATATTTAGATTTGTATGCTTGCTCTATATTGTCAATATAATTATTACTATTATCGTTATTATAATTATCAGTTATTATGCCATGATCTAAAAGTAACACGGGGCATTAAGAAAAACGGAAATCAACCATTTCTTAACATGCAAGCAATCTGAGTATCACTCGAATAACAAACTACAGCTGCTTATCTGTATGGTGTTACACAAACAAGAGGGTGGGCATGAGAGGACAGTTTGTCAGCTGTTTGATCAAAGCTGGTATTATGTTACTGTACAAGTACGTATAACACGTTAGAATTAAACAACATTGCAAACTAACCCTGACGAGAGACTGTTCTTACTTTATAATAATAAAACATGTGATTTGAAAAAGCATGGTGATAGGCAACTACCCACAGACATTCAAGCCTAGTCTCCTCCCACGCCTTCTCCATATTCGCATTTTATTTTTATTATAAACAACTTATCAAGCGCTTTTGGCGACGTTTCGACTTATCTTCGTTTCATTAAACCTGTAGCACTTTTGGCAGGCAATGCGCTTCTGGTTTTATCACTAACTTACATACTTTCAAACATGCTGTGTCAGAGAGAGAGAAAAAAATGTCTTGTAATCTATCCACAAGAATGTCAAACTTCTTAGAGTTTCAGCTGAGACTTCAGCTTTTGTAATTAAATCTCTGCCCTGTAAGGCCTCACTGGAAGCTCCATTTATCCGATGTATGATGTAATTAATCTGTAGGAATCTCAGACGTCTACAGTTTAGAATCAACCGTCGTCTCCGAAAAGTTGGTTTGCTCTGAGTGTAAATCAACCGGATTGATTTACTTCATTTTAATTCTCCTATACATTTTGGTGAGGACGGCGGTGATTTTAATGGCAATATTTGGAATAAACCCGTGGCTCATAGCAACACCAAACCTAAAGCTACTGATGCCCAAAGAATACTTTTTCTAGTTCTAATCACTCAAGTAAGCCACTTTGAGCCCTGCCTTCCAATTAAAACGTGCTTTTGACTAACTTCCCAGCGGCAAGTAAAAAAAAATAAAACATTCCTAAATGGAAAGAATGCGAGAGATTTGAAAATATGTCAATCTGAAGTCCATTATTTTGTTACACAAAGTAATTAGTCATAATAAAAAAAACAGCAACATATTTATGAGAAATTTTATAGAACTTACGAAGGAAAAATAGGGACCCCGGGGATGGCATAATGAATGAGATCCGAACTCCAACACCCTCTGTCATTTCCCGGGTGAGCAAGTTTTTTTTTGAGATCAGTCAACAACTGAAGGCATGAAAGGCGTACACACAAACAAACAATGACCTCCCTGGAGGGACACTATATCCTCTACGTCATTTCCCGGAGTGCTTTAAAAGAGCTTTCGAAGTTTGATAGAGATAAATATAATAGTACGGGGAACAAATAGTGGCCCCCTAGAGTGACATAGGGGACCAGGTCCGAACGTCGACTCCCTATGTCGCTTCTCGGGGGGCCCTAAGGGTACATGGTTCAGATCGCTCAATTAAGACGGATACACTGACAGACAATGGCCTTCCAGGGAGTGGCATAGGGGACCAGATCTCTCTCTTTCACTCTTCTCGGAAGGTCCTAAGGATGTATACCCAGTTTAGTTGAGATCGGTCAACATAGACATCGGAAGGTCCTAAGGATGTATACCCAGTTTAGTTGAAATCGGTCAACATAGACAGTTCTACTTTATATATAGATTCGTTTGACCTTTTCAGACACAATATTTTTAATTTCTACACACACAAGCAACTTGTAGAGTTTTATATGTGTGGATAAAGAAGCGCTTTCTAAAGTTATCAATCAGCGATGAAAACGCGATGATAATGTGAACTCCTTGTAATAATGTAGAATATATATATGGTTCTCCTCTACTGTCAGCTTAAACTTGTGAGGTGAAAAATGAACGTTTACCAGACACGCGCTTGAGTAAATTGTTTATTAGACAATGTAGGGCGGAGAATACATTTCATTTATATGGTGGTTCTTTTCATACAGACATTTATATAGTTTGTTAATAACAATAACAGCTTGAATTACCAGAATCTTTTGTGAGTACATAAACATTACAAGTCAGGTTAACACAAAATTAGTTTTTAAAAACTTTGTCTAGCACCCATAAACCTGAATGAAAATAGTATTTGAAGACGGCCACGAAATTGTTTTTGTTTTTCTCTATCGTAAAAAAATAAATAAAATTACTGACTAATTTCACATTTCAACAGAGTGTTGAATACCTTAAATGTTGAACACTTTAAATTAATACGATTTTGAATTAGCAAATCATCAGGCTACGAGACAACAACAGCCTACATAAAGTCGTGGGGGAATGGTAGAATTACATTTTGACATTATTTGGCGTAACGTAGGTAGCTTGATACCACCAAAAATTAATTGCTTTTGGAAATGGTATGTAACAACCCTTTCCGTTGCATCATATTCATTCACTCAGAATTTAGAATTTCCAGAACAAGGATGTCCCTTTACTTAATGGCATTGGAAAAGAAAGAAATATGGATCAACTTAGGCCACAAAGATCTTCCAGAAATAAACCTGCAACAAGTAGTAACAGATGAGAATTCACGAGCAAAAAGTCAATGGCAATATAATCAAGAAAGATCTCTGTCTGGAGAAGCGATACAAATCAGATATACTCAAGTTGCTTCCAATATATATTTATTCAAATTTGTTCAACCATCGCGTACTTCAAGCAGCCGGAAAATGAAATGAGTATTCGTTCTATTCCATATCAAAAATAGTGAACAAGTCACTGGACACAATACATGTGAATTTCTGTGCGATCAGACCTTTGACACAGGTGTTGAGAAATCGCTGTCTTCCTGAACTAGATATATTATTGAAAGTAATATGGAGGAGGGATGTGCTTTGGACATGACAGCTTTATGGCGGAAGCTTTTGCAATTGAAACTATGCTGCAGGGTTAGTGTCAAGGTGTACGTCGTCAGATACTGTACGACTGGAATTGGCGACATGGACATCAAATCGTTTTCATATAATATATTCGGCCTTTGCATGAGTTTCTTCTCCCTTCAACTTAGAAAAAAAAAACTTTTAGCAATACTGAATACTTTTCTGCATCACAGTTCTGTTTCCCGAAACATTCCATTTGTTAAAGAAGCAACATGTAATACTTCAAAATAGCTGCAAGGCAAACATCTGCTAAAGAATTTAAGCATTGCTACAATTTTATAAAACTGTAGAGTGAAATCAAGTAACCGCACTGTTAACATTGAAAGATTGCTTCTGACAAATACATACTTGAACCATTTTGCTCAAACGAATCGTTAGATTTCGTATTAATTAAAAATAAAGAAAGACAAAGTTAGATATTGAGTAGAAATTTAATAATTCTCCATTTTCATGTATTTATTTTTCATGTCTTGTTTTATCTTCTCATTACTGCTGCTTACGTATGTTTTTGATCTCTCTGTAAGTTGAGATGAGAATCATACGGAACGTGAAATTGAAAGTTCAATTCAGCCTACTATTTCGAGCTTTAGTCTCGTATCTTTAATCAGGCTCATCCGAAGCGAATAATTGAATGTAAAATAGTAATATGTAACAGGAATAGGATCAGTTTTCAGCTTGATGGAAGTTTTCAAATAGTATTTAATTTTATTTTTCACGGTGCATTTAACTTAAGCATTCCTTATCTACATTGCACTTTAGTACAATTGTTCTCCTAATGTTAATAATTATTCGTGTAATTTATCTGAGCTACTAATTGGTTATTGAACGACGAGCTCTTAACTCTTGCTGTTTAAAACAAAATCTCGTCAGTTGACTCCTCAATCACAACTTTTCGTAACAAACACGAGATGGTCATTGAAAGAAAACAAAACATGTTTTGTTGCCAAAAATCTCAAATGGAGACAAAGGTTTCTTGGAAATTGGAAACTTAAGGGCACAAAACTTGTTTAGTAAAAGCTTCGACTTAACAGGGATTCCATCATCAACAATATATAGAAACTAA